TCTCAAAACCCCTAAACCATGAACCCTGAACCCTAAATCCCAACACCCCTAAACCATGAACCCTAAACCCTAAATCCCAAACCCTAAGCCCTAAACCATGAACCCTGAACCCTAAATCCCAAAACCCCTAAACCATGAAACCTGAACCCTAAATCCCAACACCCCTAGACCCTAAACCCTAAACCCTGAACCCTAAATCCAAAACCCTAAACCCTAAACCATGAGCCCTGAACCCTAAATCCCAAAACACTAAACCCCCTTAACCATGACCCCTGATCTGGGGCTGCCGCTGGTCTGGGAGGATCTCAACGAAGGCCGCTGCCGTCAAGGCTGGGATAACAAGCTCATCGGTTGCCTCGTGAAATTGAGTCGTGTTTTTAGGGGTTTTATAGGGATAATGGGAAAGAAAATGGAAATTACTATAATATACTATAACATAATAGGGATTTATAGGGATTATAATGAGATATATTGGGGTTATATAAGGATAATAGAAAAGAAAATGGAAACTACTATATAGGGTCTAGGGTTTAGGGACTTGAGTAGTGTTTTCTTGGTGGTTCTATAGGGGTTATGTAGGGGGATAATGGAAAAGAAAATGGAAGCTACTATAGTATAGTAGGGTATATATTCGGGTTATATTTGGGTATAACCCAGACCCCCTAAAGGATCCAAAAAATAGAACCCCCTAATAATCCTACAGTTTCCCCAATGTAGTAACGGGTTCATTTTGGGGGGTGGCTCCATTTTTTGGGTCCTTTACGGGTTCTGGGTAAGGAACTTGAATCAGGTTACCATAATATGGGTGTATGGTAAGTAATCGGGTTTCCTTATGATGGTAACTTAATTTAAGTCCCGTAACAGCAACCGAGGAAAAGGGGGAAAAACTAGGGGCATGTTTGGGAGCCTCTGTGATGAGGCCTTAGAGAATTTGGGGGCTTAGGATTACCTTCGGGGGGCTCAACGACCGACCCTAGGGTTTGGGGTTGAACCTTTGCAACTAACTGAGTTGCTCTAGTTTAGGGATTGTTGTTTATTGAGGCTCTCTTGCCATTACGTAAGGATTACAGAGAAAGTATGGAACCCTAAGCCCTAAACTCTGAAAACCAAACTCTAAAGCCCACTAACCCTAAGCCCTAAACTCTAAACCCTACACCCTAAACCGTGGGGACTTAGTAAGTAGGTAAATGATGGAGATCATTGCAGGGTTACTAAAAGGGTTATAGGGGTTGTTAACTTAGTTAGTTAGTTACTTACTTACTTACTTACTTAGTTGCTTACTTGCTTACTTAGCCGGTTTAGACTTTGGTTGGGTGATCAATTCATAATAATATGCGTGAGGGAAATAGAAACTACCCCACTGTAGGGTTGGACTCCTACAGAAAGCGATGTGTGAATGGTCGTCGCCTCAGAATTTGAAACACCTTTTTGAAACACAAGCATACTCGGCTAAGTTCAGACCGTGTTCTTTATTCCCGAAAAAAAAAGTCTGAAGAACTCACAGGGGAATCCTTGACCCATAGACTAACAACTGGCTCAAAGGGGAGCAACTAAACCTGAAGAACTTCGAAGGTCAAAAGTAGGACCACGAGGAATCTGGCGCTGGTACTCCTAACTTTGTGCTTACTTCATTATTGTGCTTCCCTTTTGGGAGCAAACCATACAACCGTACCATGGATAGAGGAAATCTTGCGTTGCTTAAGATCCCCAACATACTGCAATTCTTATGTATTGGGCTTTCCCAAAATGAGGGGTACCATTTTGGGGGTCCTTATAATAAGGATTATGGTATATTGGGGTCTATCTTGGGGTCACCTTATTTTGGGAAACTACTGTATGGGGAATAGAAGGTGCTGCAAGAGGTCCTCACAGTAATCCGCCTTTGCAGCTCTCTCACTTATTGTGCTCAAGGCCCTCAACCCTAAACCCTACAACCTAAGCCGTAAACCCTAAACCCGGAACCCTAAAACCTAAACGCTGCACCCCAAACCTGAACCCTAAACCCTATACGCTAAACCCTAAACCCTAACTGCTAAACCCTAAGCCC